CAGCTTTATGGATATTTGTTGGTTACTGCTAACCTTGATTGTAATTTATACTGATGCAGCTTCAGAGCTCAAAATTTGTTTCGGGACGAAGGATGTTGATTTCCTGTCTATTCTGTTTTATCTTGATTTGTCTCAGTTCTTTTTTTTCATCGTAGAAGTCATACACCGTGTTGATTCATTTTTTTTCTTCCCTTTTCAATTTCATAATGTTACCCTAAGTGCTATAATTTATATTTTGTAATATAAGAATTAAAAGATAGAAATTGAAGAAATGACCTCAGGTAGTTGATGAAAATCCTGTTGACAATTTTTTTAAGGAGCCTAATTACTTGATTTTTTCAGCGTGCTTTGTCTTACTTCTATTTCAGGCTTTGGTCTGAGTGCCATACATATTGAAACTGTTCTGGAGGATCTGCTCCTCTCCTTTATTTTATTAATGTATTGTATACCATAGAAGTACTTTTCTCTTGTTGGTCATACCATGTTCCGTGCTACTTTTTGGTCATTGTCCTGTTTATCACTTGCATATTGTTTCATGATTCATAGCTCTCTCAACTTGAATTGCCTGAAATGATGAGTGATGAGCTGTGATACTCCGACACGGCAATTTTGGCGCCATACCCGTATCGGGTGCGGTTTGGGTACGTTTCCACACCTAAATGAAAGGGACGCGGGAGTAGCTCATTTCCCACGTGTCGGGGAAGCTCGGAGATCGATGACGAGGTCGGGGAAGGTTCGATGGGGTCGGGGAAGGTTCGACGAGGTCGGGGAAGCGTCGACGAGGGTCGGGGAAGGTTCGACGAGGTCGAGGAAGCTTCGAAGAGGAACATGATTTCAGTAACGAGATATTCTCGTGGCGGCGTCAGGAGAGAAATGGTATCTAGGGTTTTTAGTTGGGTTTGGGTTTGGGTTTGGGTTTGGGTTTGTTTAATTTCAGCACCCGTTTTGATTTTTTTTTTCTTTGAAATAGTTGGGCGGGCCGTTTAAGCGGCCCGCTTAGCTCTTTTTTTAGCTCTTTTTACATAGGATACTTTTTATTCAGTCATATCGTCATCAATTGTTTTGTTTATTCTTTATTAATTGCTAAATTGAGGATAGAGGAGTGAGGACACTGGTTGCAGGGGCTCAAATAAATGTTTTGGGTGATTGATGGATAAATCTTCCTAGAGTGGTAACTGATTTTTGAGACTAGTTTCCCAAGAGTTGCTCTTTTATGAAACTAGTTTCCCAAGAGTTGCTCTTTTCTATGAGTCCCTTGCGTGAGAGGGAGAAGCATCTGAAGTGTGATTCCTTATCTTACTAAGTGTCTTTCTGATCTTATGGCTTACAGTGCAACATACCCATTACCTTTAATGTTCTTACTGAAAATGATATATGTCATTAGCATTTAGAGTCTATCATTATCTTCCTGCGTGAGATTTAATAGGTCTTTATTAATTTCTTTTCAAATTTGAGCTAGGAATTACCGGTATTTAAGTTCATTATTCCTCTGTTTCTTGCTCAATGTTGCTCAAAACAGAACTAGAAATGCTTGTAGTTTAGTAATTTTTTCCTCATAAAATTAGAAGTTGTTCTGTTGTAAAAATGGCCTGGGCAGCTGCCTAGATGTTACTCCATTTAGACAGGTGCCTTGGTGTTATGCATGATCCTTGTTGCCAAGACCTGCTCATGTTTTTGTTAGAAAAAATATTCTTCAACCATATGTTTAATAAATTGTTTTCTTTTCCCTTGACATTTGGATGTGGCTTTTTTCACTTGTAGTCACGGCAACCATGGATGCAATCTTAGAAGGGGTGAGAAGAAAGCCTGGAGGAAATGCAATGGCATTGGAACAAGTTAGAATAATCCTTGACCAACTTGGATGCCATCTATGTAGTGAAGATACAGGGGCATTATATACTATCGGTAGCTTTTTTTCTTTTTATTTTTGCTTTTAAGGCTACTTTTGGCCATCCCCTTCTGCAAGACTAACTTTAGCTAATTGCTTCCTTGGCTTTGGTGTTTGACATGTTGATCTTCATGCAATTCCTGATGTAGATCTGAAAGGAGTTATAGAAATTTGTCGAAATGATGAGGTACTTAGTTACAAGCATTTTTACTATATAACTAATGATCTATCCTTCATACTGACACTTCCTTTTTCTACATCAAAAGGTTGAGTCCCTTGTTTTGAGAAGATATGGAAAAGAAGCATTTAGGATACTCAGGTTACTGGTGAAGGACGGTGGAAAAAAAGAAACAGATATGGTAATCACTTGTTCTGTATAGAAGGTGGTTTTGAAATCATGGGTATCAATTTATAGGAGTCTTGCAAGGATCGAATGTTGATTACACTAGTTGTGTTCACTTTACTAGATGGATGAACATATTTTATGACGGGACAGGAAATGAGAGATGAGGTAAGAAACTAATGTGTGTGCTTAGGGATATTTAACTAGCAGTTACATGAACCATTCAGATGCTAAATAACCTGGAGAGAAATGTGAAGATATGAGACACGAGAGATGATATGATTCTTCTAGATTCCTTGCCTTTTATCCGGAATACAGCTCTTTTACCATTATCATTAAAAAAATATTACTTATTGGTGTCCATATATTTTTTAGACATTTAAACCATGTTTTCTTCAAATGATTTCCTGAAAATTTTCTGCTAAGTAAAATTTCTTATTTGTTATGTTAAATTTCGGTTTGACATATTTGTGGCAGAAAATTTTCCCATTTCTAAATGGTACCAACTAAGCGTGTATAGTTTATTCGAATGTGGCATACGAAGTGTAAATTATGTCAGGTGAACTGTCTTTTGTTTTTTGATGTTTCATCCAAAGTTTTGGTTGTTAAAATTTCTTATGATTTCCAGGACAGATTGCATAGAGTTATGCTCCCAATTGTTTATCTGTTATAGATGCAGTGGTGCTTGATTTAATCAATTAACCTGCACTTCCACTTGACTCTATAAACATTATGCCTGTTTCTCCCTTTTTCATTTGGAAGTAGTACTCCACCCTCTGGAATTCTACATATTACTAGTAATAGCAAAAAAATATTGTTCAAAATCCTGTAATGTGATAAACATCCGTAATTACTGTGAGTTTTCTTGCCAAACTGTAGATCCATTTGATGAGCTAAGAAGTGGATTCCTGTTTGGTCTGAGAAATAAGATGCTCTTTTAACAGTCAAGTAATTTGTGGTCCAAGGCTCCCAAATATCAATGCTTACTATAATGTTGATATTTATCCAGTTGGGTATCATGTGTCAGTATCAGCATGCACTGCCAATATTGCCTGCCAAGCAAGGTTAAGATGGTTTAGCGAGCATGAAATATATTCCCCCCTGCTTTTCGTTGTCATTTATCCCTCATGCATGAGAGACCAATACAAACTGCATGAAGTTCAACAGCTGCATAGTGCATATAAACTTATGATGGTTGCGAGAACTCTTTTTGTCTAGTTTGCTAATTCACTATTAGTCAGCTACGTGTCATAATGCCATGAAATTGACATATGTTTTATTTTCGACAATGCCATAACATGTGAAATATGCAATGCCGTTCTCTATGCCTCGTTATAATAATTTTTATATATTTCATCTTATAGATTGCGGATACAACTTTTATTGAGAAGAAGGAAAATCAAGTACTTCTATACAAGCTTTGGAAGGATGAGTACTTGGATGTGGAGGTAAAGAATACATACTTATGTTTGGATTTTGTTTTTCATTTTTTATGAAGAAAATTTTTGGCTCTTAGTTAGTTCTGAAAATTTTCCAATATAATGTGAAGATGGATTCACCATTATCTTGTATAGATCTTAAGTCAGTGTATACATCCTACAATTAAATATGATTGACAGGTAATGTGTAAGTTTGGACTGCAAAATCAACTTGAATCAGGTTTTGGTTCTGATGTAACAATTGGCTCTTGTTTTTATTTTGCATATTAAAAGCCAAATGAAAAAGACAGGAACTTGCATCAGGCTTACTTACAATGATTTTTGGTTGGGCATGTATAATATTTTTTTCTCATTATTTGTTGGTTTCTTAAGAATATATAATGAACACATGTATGCAAATTTATAGTGTAATATTTATATATACTACAAGTGATTTCTCCCTCCTGTAATTGTGTCGTTTTCATTGAAGGATTTATTGTCTCAGGAAAACTCGTGTCCTTGGCTTGGGGATTTTTTTTGTTAATTGAGATTACTGTTTGATTTGTGAGAGAGCCCTCTTTTGCTTATGAGGAAGCTCTCTTGAGTTTTTCTTTCTACATTTTGACCACAGTTTATTTTGTGTCACATAGGGTTCTTTTATCTTAAGGCTTAAGTCTATTACAAAGGATACTTGTTCTTGTACCAGAATTACACCTTTATTTCCGCAAATTAATTGTAAATTTAACATGCCATTCCTTCAATCAATTGATTCTCATTCGTCCTCTTTTCAATCCTCTTGGTCTTGAGTGTTTATCGTTTTCCGATTACTCATTGCTTGAGTTATCCAGTAGGGGTTTTTGCATGTATACCCCTCAAATCTTCCTTATTTGCAAATTACCTGCCAAATCTTGGTATTTGCAAAATTACCTTCGAAGTCTCCTATATCAATTTTTTATACCCCACATTTGGTAGGCTTCCAAAGTTGGATGGGCCTTTTTGACCTTTGTAATCCTCCACCCCCATACTCATTAGATAGGACAATCAACCCAAACATTTTGCCAGAGAGGATGAAAGGTTAGAGAAGGGACAAAGAAAAAATGTTAGAAACAGATGGATGCAATTAGCTTCCAGAAAACATAGGGGTAGAGGCAAATGTTAGAAAGAGATTGAGTTTTTATACCCCGAGATTCTAGATGGTAGGATTAATGTTATTGTTTCCATTCCTTTAGGGCTTGGTCTCAAAGATGGTTGTCATCTTTGAATTGATGGAGGTCGCGATAGGGTTCTGAACAAAGATGGAAAAAAAAATCCATTAGGGCTTTGTCCCTTCTACCTATCACCAGCCTTGGTTGTTTTAATTAGAAATATAATTAGTATTTATTAAGCAAGGGTATATTAGTCATCAACAGCAAATTTTACCTAAGCTGACATAATTCTAAAGAATGTACCCGGTATTAGGGGTGGGCGTGCGTTGGGCTACGTCTGACCTATTGACCGGCCCTGCCAGTTTTGGGTCACGGACAGTTCAGACCTGGGCCCGGGCGGCCTCATTAGGCCGTGCCAAGAACTGTCCCAGGGGGTAGACCCAGCCCAACCCACGGTCTGCATGGGGCCAAGTCGGGTTTGACCCGACCCACAACCTGCATGGGGCCAGCCGGGTCCAACCCGACCCATAACAATTTGGGTCGCAGATTGGCCCGTACACCTTTTTCTATTCAATTTTTTTCTTTTTAAAATTTTTTCTAGATTAGTATGTATAGTCTGAAGAAGAAAACTTGTATTTTATCTTTCTGAGAAGTCTAAACCTTATAAATTTACAATTGGTGATGAAATTATCTCAAAAGACAAGATTCACAATAATTTGAGTATTTTCAGTAAATCAAAATGACTACAAATATTCATCGAAATATTAATAACTCAAAACATCTGGAGGTTACAAATTTTGAATTGAGTTGCTACTAAAATTATATCAAAATGTAACTATTACCTAAGACGTTGGGCTAGGCCGGGTCGGATAAGGGTCTAGTCGAGCGTGCGCTGGGCCTACTTCTTTAACCACAGGTTTAGAGTGGAACCTAGCTCGACCCATGGCTCTGGTATATCATAGGCCGAGTTGGGCCCGACCCACTGTGGGCTAAACCAGGTTTTGACCTAAGCAAGTTGGGCTGGTTCGGCCCGCGGTTCAAACCGGCCCACGTCTACCCCTATCCAGTATGTTCCATAAGAGAATAAGTGAGGGATAGAAAGTCCCAGTCTTAAAGAATTGGAGAGTAATTTTACAAATATCAAGTTTTAGACGGTAATTTTGCAAATATGAAAGACTAGAGGGGTATATATGCAGAATACCCTTTCCAATAATCTAGCAGACAGATTGGAATCAGGTTATTGCTCACACTTGAAGTGCATTGACATGTGACTTTGTTTGAGATTATTTGCATTGGTTTAAGCAATTGGCCATTAAATTTGGTTAGATGTTTTACCATTTGAGGAAAATAAGTGTTCCATCAGACAACTTTCTATCCTATGTTATATGATTGGAAAAACATTTTATGGTCCAAGATTCAGTTTGTTAAACATTTGGATGATTCTACCACTTTACCTTCTATTGTTGATGCTGTTTATTTGCTCACATGTTCATTAAGACCGAGTTCATGCATCTCTGGTGCACACTTTATGTTTGGCCCATCAGAAATTCCTATTCTTCACATGAATTTTGTGATCAATTGGCGTCGAAACTTTGGTAACTATTCAGCTTCGTCTCGGAGGCCTCACGATTCTTCGGAGGACAAATATGAGTATGCACACTCTGGATAGATTTTTAGGAAATTAGATTAGATTTCATTAGATAACCGTAATATTTCTATTGATGGCTGATATCAATCAGTCACTAAGAGAAAATATTAAGTTGATGGAGGTCATTTAACCCATGGAGGTCATTTAACCCTCCGAATGTCCGGTTCTGAGGTGTGTTCTTCCCTGCACAAATAGAAAATCGTAAGAGGGCGGGGTTGAGTTCCCCAGTTGTTTCTCCAACGATCAAATCAGTAATATGCTTGAGTGGGGAAGTAACTGAACTGTAGAAGTTCTTAAGCACAGTGGGTAGAGAAAAATAATCTTACCTCTATATTAAAAATAGTACCACTATTTATAGTGGTAGCAGAATGGTAGAATGATAACTTCGATAGAGTATGGAATGACGGCCATGTCAGCATCTACTTTACATGTGTCGACTGACGAGTGGAGAAGAAGTCATTTCTGCATTTGATGTGAAGTAATTAGAGGCGTGCGGTGTCGACGTGGTCCGATGTGTCTTAAAGACTATTGGGGGTAGAGGAACGATGTCACCGATTATGCATTTAATGACATTTATTGAGAGGTGATCAGCTGTCAGCGCGTGGGAAGGAGCTCGAGGCTTGAGGTATTTCGTCGCCTTTTTACTCGTCTAGTGGTCAAGAAATACCACCCTTTGAGTCGCCTTCGTAAGATATCGGCTGAATGGCCGGTCAATCAGGGAGTTGACCTAGCCAGGGGTCGACATGTAGCGTCATTAGAGTCGTCCTCACGAGATGTCGACGTGTCGAGTCATCCGAGCTGGGTCTTGGATTGTTTTGAAGTGCTGGCTCGATTACGCATAATGTGTGATACTTGTCTGTCTTTGATTGGAGATTACTTTTCAGCACTCAAATTACTATAACAATTTCATATTCTTTTTTATACTCAATTACTGTTTCCGATATCAACCCCTATATCTGCAAATTCTATTCACATCTTCTAATACCATGAGAATAAATTGTGACCATGTCCTCATTAAAGTTCTCCTTAGTTATGTATACCATGCATATTAACCTTAGCATGATAACCTTAAATCCTTAATCATCCAAGACTTAAACTTTGATTAAAGTTAAACCAAAATGTCAAAAAGTTTTTTAAAAAACAACATAAATACCATATCGAAATAATTTGGCTGCCATGAGTACAAAAACAACCACCACCACCACCAATCCTTCTTCTCAAATATTTGGGGGTCGGCTATATGAATCCTATTTTTCCATTCCATTCCATTATGGGTCATCTCCTCCATTAAGTTAGTCCTAATCATATTCTTCTTAATTGCTTCTAACCAAATCATTGTAGGTCTACCTCTAGATCTCCTAGCCCCATGAACTCTAATATTATCGTTTTTCCCAATTTGTGTACTAAAGGATCTCCATTATACATGACCGAACTATATTAATCTATTCTCTTTCATTTTATCCTCAATAGGAGCAACCTCTGATTTACTATGGATGCACTCCGTAGTAAATTAAAGGTTGCTCCTATTGAGGATAAAATGAGATAGCATAGATTAAAATGGTTTGGGCAGCCATGAGTGAAAGGGGAAGATTGCACAAAAGACCCTACAATTTGCCATATTCCAAGATTCCCCTCCACATGCTCTAGAGTATATAACACACAATCTTTTCTCTCTCTCTTTCATTTTCATTTTCGAGAGAAATTTCCCCAACACCCTCTTTCCTTCACCGCCTCTTGGCCAGCCACTTAACAGCCCCTAACTCTGAACTCAGAAATTTTCACCATTTCCCTCCTCTCAATCCTCTGAACCCTTAAGCCAAGAAAGATCAAGGCTCTAGTGAAGCTAAGGAGTTTGGGAAGAGTTATTGCATATAACCTATGTTCTATTGGTTCTAGCATAAACTTAACTTGTTTAGGAAGGCAAAATAAACAGGAGTAAAGAACAATTTAAATTGCAAGGTTAGGCTTGAATTCATGACACCTTGAAACTGTTGCTCTCACACCATTTAAGAAACCATGTTAGCAGGTATTTAGCAAACTATATTACAAATGATTATACTTTTCGCTCAAGTGCTTTGTTTAGCAAAAGCATTGTGTCTTATATCATTAGCATTATTTATAGTTCTTGATTTCAGAGGTTGGCAGTTTTTTACATCTTTATGTTCCTTGCAGAGAGTGGTTACAGCTGTTGGGAAGCAACTTACTTATTTCTTATGGGAAGTGAATAAAAAAAAGCTTTTGATGCATATTGTCAATGATATGTATCATGCTGCATTAAATCTCAGTAAAAGGGCAGGACACATGATTGAACAAGATCCCGAGGTTATCACACCTACACTCTATTCTCATATGCATGAGTATCTTCTTTATCAGATTTTTATTCACGTGTGTTTTTGTTGTGAGCTACTTTGGATCATTTACGAGGCTTTTCTGATGGAGGTCTTAATAAAATTTGAAGAGGCATTTACTTATTTCCCTAGTGCCAAGCAAGATACAACTATTTATCCAGCTTATTTATTAATTTCTGTCCTAGATTTTGTATTTCTGCCGATCCTTATTCTTAGGATAATTTAGAAGCTTAACAAAAACTGTATGTGCTTGTGTTTATTTCTCTTTGGAAACTGTGAAGTTTTATCAACTGTATGGGTAGCTCCAAAATGCTGCTTTTTTTGTATAATCAACCTATATGCATATTAAGTTAAAGATAATTTAAAAGGCTTTGATTCTTATTGTCAACTGAAAACAATGCCAAATTACCAGCATAAAAAACTGTCCTATTTGTGTGCATGTCATTTGTTGTGTAAGATATTGCCAATATTGTCCGAATTTATTGCAGGAGCGAATTCTATTGTTTACAGATTAATTGCTTGATTCATATTTTCTAGTTTTATTATGCATAAATACAGGATAAAAATTGTTATTTATATAACAGGCTATGTTTCATAGCCTGGATTTCTAGCCTATCTTACTGGAGTGTCCCTGCATCTCAAGTTAAAACATAAATTACTCTTGCCTCTGGTTTTATTAATAAAAAAAATTCAGGGGTCCTAGACTATGTTATATGGGTATTTCTATCATGAAGCCGTACGTGACACTTTATGGATTCTCCTTACACATATGCATATATTTATTCAGATGTGTACTCAATTATACAATACATGTTTTGATTTAAACATTCTATCATACATTCCTTGGGCATATATATCCTATTCTTCACATCCCTTTTTGGAACTTGTTGGACAAGGTTTGAGTTCGTTTCAGCTATATTCAGTTAAGAACTATTGTTTCAAACGGTCCTACACATATCTAGCTGAAAACTATGATTACAGTTCATGCGTTTTAGCCATCTTGCCTATGCTACTTTTTACCAATTTGCTGTATCCCGCATCCGCACCCATACCTGTATCTGCCCTACGTAGGACCTAGAGAGCAAGTACTGGCTAGTGACCCTCGTAAATCTCAATGATCAGATTTTGTCCAACATCTCTACTTGGGCCATGCAATGGTAAGGTTCACATAGGCACATAGGGAGGAAGGAGAATATGAAATGTGTTGATTTTAAAGTTGGCTATTACACGTGCAATATTCTGTTTGTACTGATATTGTATGTTGGTTGCACTGATTTGAAATTGATAGTGGGGCATGTATATAGGGCTCTTTATGGGATTATTTTCCCTTTTTGGGGATGTGCGGAATATTCCCTCATCAAATAAGCATAAATAGACCCGAAGCACTTGCCATAGATGCAACCGTTGGCTTTTTGTGTCAACAGACAGCCTGAGCATTTACATGTGTTAACAGACAGCCTGAGCATTTACATATGTTACCTTCTGGTTGCTTAACCTTGTGTTTCTTTGTGATACAGATTTTATTACCAAAACAAGGATTGCCAGAAAAGCTGCAAAAGGAGAAAACAGCAGAGAAACGAAGATGGATGATATTGCAGTCATCCCTTGCAAAGCTTGATGATGCTCTAATGTTGTTCCATGACTTCTAATATATTACTTTGCTCCTTATTTTTGTCTTAGTTGTATGTAAGGAGTCATATTTCAAGTCTGAAGGCCAAGTGTAATTTTGATATTGATCGCCTGCAGTATTAACAGTTAGGTTATGCGACGTAGCTGGTATGTGGATATTTTTACTTTTTTTTTCCAGCCTCCATTGAAGATCATAAACTGCATGACTTCTAATATATTACTTTGCTCCTTATTTTTGTCTTAGTTGTATGTAAGGAGTCATATTTCAAGTCTGAAGGCCAAGTGTAATTTTGATATTGATCGCCTGCAGTATTAACAGTTAGGTTATGCGACGTAGCTGGTATGTGGATATTTTTACTTTTTTTTTCCAGCCTCCATTGAAGATCATAAACTGATTTTTATGTGATATATACGGTTGACCAGTAGAGAGGTTTCTGAACATTTTAAAATGACATAATGCTTGTTAATCCAGTTACATTCAGGTTTTGATTCTTGGATTTTCTATTGATTTGGTTCTGTGTTTTGCTAGAACTCTGATTTTCTAGTCAGAAAACATGGTTACAAACTCTGATTGAAGCAAGTTATTCGGAGCTTGGTTGGAGTTTTAACATTCAGCCCGCCCGTTATTGATCTTGTTAGGAAACCCACCCGAGGTCCTATCTAATTCTTATTGTCAACTGAAAACAATGCCAAATTACCAGCATAAAAAACTGTCCTATTTGTGTGCATGTCATTTGTTGTGTAAGATATTGCCAATATTGTCCGAATTTATTGCAGGAGCGAATTCTATTGTTTACAGATTAATTGCTTGATTCATATTTTCTAGTTTTATTATGCATAAATACAGGATAAAAATTGTTATTTATATAACAGGCTATGTTTCATAGCCTGGATTTCTAGCCTATCTTACTGGAGTGTCCCTGCATCTCAAGTTAAAACATAAATTACTCTTGCCTCTGGTTTTATTAATAAAAAAAATTCAGGGGTCCTAGACTATGTTATATGGGTATTTCTATCATGAAGCCGTACGTGACACTTTATGGATTCTCCTTACACATATGCATATATTTATTCAGATGTGTACTCAATTATACAATACATGTTTTGATTTAAACATTCTATCATACATTCCTTGGGCATATATATCCTATTCTTCACATCCCTTTTTGGAACTTGTTGGACAAGGTTTGAGTTCGTTTCAGCTATATTCAGTTAAGAACTATTGTTTCAAACGGTCCTACACATATCTAGCTGAAAACTATGATTACAGTTCATGCGTTTTAGCCATCTTGCCTATGCTACTTTTTACCAATTTGCTGTATCCCGCATCCGCACCCATACCTGTATCTGCCCTACGTAGGACCTAGAGAGCAAGTACTGGCTAGTGACCCTCGTAAATCTCAATGATCAGATTTTGTCCAACATCTCTACTTGGGCCATGCAATGGTAAGGTTCACATAGGCACATAGGGAGGAAGGAGAATATGAAATGTGTTGATTTTAAAGTTGGCTATTACACGTGCAATATTCTGTTTGTACTGATATTGTATGTTGGTTGCACTGATTTGAAATTGATAGTGGGGCATGTATATAGGGCTCTTTATGGGATTATTTTCCCTTTTTGGGGATGTGCGGAATATTCCCTCATCAAATAAGCATAAATAGACCCGAAGCACTTGCCATAGATGCAACCGTTGGCTTTTTGTGTCAACAGACAGCCTGAGCATTTACATGTGTTAACAGACAGCCTGAGCATTTACATATGTTACCTTCTGGTTGCTTAACCTTGTGTTTCTTTGTGATACAGATTTTATTACCAAAACAAGGATTGCCAGAAAAGCTGCAAAAGGAGAAAACAGCAGAGAAACGAAGATGGATGATATTGCAGTCATCCCTTGCAAAGCTTGATGATGCTCTAATGTTGTTCCATGACTTCTAATATATTACTTTGCTCCTTATTTTTGTCTTAGTTGTATGTAAGGAGTCATATTTCAAGTCTGAAGGCCAAGTGTAATTTTGATATTGATCGCCTGCAGTATTAACAGTTAGGTTATGCGACGTAGCTGGTATGTGGATATTTTTACTTTTTTTTTCCAGCCTCCATTGAAGATCATAAACTGCTGCAAAACCTTTACGCAAACCTTGCTGAACTTTTAATTATCATCCCCCCCCCCCCACCCACCCCCTTTCCTTCTCGTTTTTATGTGATATATACGGTTGACCAGTAGAGAGGTTTCTGAACATTTTAAAATGACATAATGCTTGTTAATCCAGTTACATTCAGGTTTTGATTCTTGGATTTTCTATTGATTTGGTTCTGTGTTTTGCTAGAACTCTGATTTTCTAGTCAGAAAACATGGTTACAAACTCTGATTGAAGCAAGTTATTCGGAGCTTGGTTGGAGTTTTAACATTCAGCCCGCCCGTTATTGATCTTGTTAGGAAACCCACCCGAGGTCCTATCTAA